AAAGAAGAGAAAAGCCAATAGCCAGGCATGGTAAAGATACCTTATAATCCCATCACTTTGGGAGGCTGAGGCAGGTAGATTGCAAATTTGAGCCCAGCTTGTACAACTAAGCAACTCAGTGAGGCCCTGTGTAAAAATAAAAATAAGATAGGGGTTGAGGACATCCTTCAGTGAGAAGACCTTGAGAAGGGAGGGAGGGAAAAAGAAAAAAAAGACGCTAAATTTTTAATAATGGGCACAAAAAAGACTGACAAACACAGCTGACAATAACAATATTGGTATGCATGAGCACTGAGTCTTATCGGTGGGGCTTTATAAAGTGGTATAAGCACTTTGTAAAGCAGTAATTGCTCTTCTATTTATTAAATTGGAATATATGGATAAATCTACACACCTGCCCTTAAGAAGTTTTCGCACAGGTACAGCAGGGTGTCTGTATAAAAATGTTCAGGCAGCAGCATTCATAATGGTCAAAAGCTATAAACTGCCTCAATGTCTGTCTCCATGGATTTGTATACAATGAAACACTATCCAGTCATGACATTTGATGAACTACAACTGCTTACAACAACGCAGATTTTTCTCATATAGTCAGTCAAAAAAAAAAAAAAGACCAAACAGTAAATACAGCATGATTCTATTCAATGTTCAAAAAGAGGACAAATTAAGCTCTTGTTTAAGGACACATTTATACATATAAAATTATAATGAAAAGAGGCAGGAATTTATAAAAACCAGACTAGGGATGCACTCCAGGGAACTGGGAGAAGAGTATCATCAGGCAGAAGCAGAGGCACGTGAAAGACTTCAGGTATAATGATGCTTGACCTCCTTTTTTTTGTTCAGTGCTAGCCATAGAAGCTAGGGCCCTACGTACAATAGGCAAGCACTCTACCCCTGAGCTCCACAGCCAGCACAGAGGCTGCATTTCTTGATTTATAAGGTATTTACATGGCTCTTGCTAATTAAATGGCGCAGACATATTTGTTTTAGGCATGTTTCCAAATATGTATTACATTTCATCCTTACTTTAAAAACTAAAATTTTCTCAAAGGTCCCTTTGTGGATCAATTACCGTATTTCCCTGAAAACAATACTTAACTGGAAAGTAAGGCTTAGCATGATTTTTCAGGATGCTCATAATATAGTGGACCCCTGAAATTCACAGGGATTATATTCCTAGAGTACCCGCAAATTGTGAAAAACCAGGAATTTCAGATATGGTCAGGAAAATGTCTATTTTTATAGTTTAAACCCTAAATATGCTATGTCTCCCTCAGTTATGTAATTTAATTTAATAAAATATGTATTAATAAAGCCTTACAAGGTGCAGGGCATTTTCATGGCATCTTAAGTATCTTAGGGAGTTAAGAAGAACAAAATGCAGAACACTCAAAATAGCTACACGCAGTACAGCGCCCTGTTACGAACTGGGATGCTGGCGCATCTGCCTGGTGGGTTACAGGGCAGCGGCCAATCAGCAGCAAGAACTGAATAATGTTCTCAAATTGGCTACTTGCAAACCTACCACCAAAAAAAAAAATTGCAGAGGATGTTTGTAGTTTCCACAAAATGGCAGGGGTTTCTGCAAGCAATTAAATAGGTTCTAAGGAAAAATCCTTCAACGACTGAGGTTGCAAACCCTGAACTCTGACTTCATGGGGTGTACTGTACATATAAAGCCCTACCCCCCAAATAAGCCCCAGTTAAGATCGTCAGCCAGATTTAGTTCATTCATTGCAACATACAGTGGATGTATAGAATTATAAAATAATCATATTAAGATATAATTAAATATAAATAATATCATTGACATTCATAATTAATATAAATTATAATTATTTGTAAATACCCAAGTAAGTGCCTTTGGACAAGAGGTAAATGCCTATGTAAAGGGATGGACTCTAGAGTTATTGCTGATGACCATTTGGAGTACAGACACAACGTGCAAATAATGCACACACTTAATGAATGGTTTATGTGAATGTTTTATGTGAATTTTCATAATCAATACATTTTGTATTGTAACAGACTTAATGCACTTGTGACCCAATCTCATTTTCGGAGAAATATGGTGTATTCTAATCAGTTACATTATAAATCTTAGATTATAGATTTTATTGCACAAAAAGTAGTTTGAGACTTGGCAATATTATAATTTAAATATACCTTCCTTACCTATGAGAATCGGGTAGCACCAACATATGGTTGAATATATTTATTCCAGTAACACTAGTACTGAATAGCATATGTGTATCAACCAGCACAGATATCTAGAGTTCAAATCTTTAAATTGAACTTACTAGAAATTTCTATTATCTAGCAAACATTCCCAGATAACTATATTAAAAATTTTACACTTTAAATCTATAGTTTCATATCACACCAATAAACTGGCACTTATTTCAGTGTTTAGTAAGTAGGGTCAAGCATGACATAAACAGATCTTTCAAAATGGGATTTTAGCTTTTGAGAGAAAGATACCATATATGTCAGCAACGTTATTTTAAGAAATTAGGGTCTTTTTTAGTTCGTCAAAATGAAAGCCACTGATGACCAGAAATTAATCCTGACCCTTTGACATTTTCCTGATAAAGCTGAAAACGTTAGAACTAGGAGGCAATATTTCTTAAAAACTTTTCTGGTTTGGAGTTACACTAACTCAGAAATTTGGAAACAAGTCTAGGGGACAATGTTAAAGAGCTCTTAGCTTCTGGGGCGCCTCTCCTTCAATACCATTAAGAGGGAAATAAATCCTGGCTCGTGTATTTTATGGTCTGAATTGTGTGTCCTCCAAAGTCCATATGTGGGAATTCTGATGTCCTACATGACAGTACCTAAGGACAAGACCTTTAGGAGATAACTGAAGTTAAATGAGGCATAAGGATGGGCCCCTACTCCAGCAGGACTGGTGTCTTCATAAGGAGAAAGGGACACCAAGAATGCGCATGCGCAGGAGCGAATGCCAGGAGCCCAGTGGGACACGGCAATCTGCGGATGGGAGGGAGGAGCCGCAACAGAAACCAACCCACCAGTACCTTATGTTTTGCTTTTTTCTTTCCTCTTCTTTTTATTTTTATTAGTACGTGTTTGCAGTACATAATAATTACATCCATTATGGGGAGTTGGTGCATGTACATATCTTCATTGTTTGCCAGTATCAGATTTATTAATTTTTCACTCTACACAGTTAATTATCATAAACACAGGTTAACAGCCAGACTAACAGATGAGAAAACATATAAAACACAAAATGATTATGCTAAATCAAGGTACACTTTTAGATATATTGACCATGCTGGATTACAGTAATTGTTTTCTCTTTTTTCCATTGTCTTTAGGCTTGTAATATTTAAGCTTGTGTGTCTCATTTACTTCACTTAACATTATGATCTCCAGGTGCATCTCTTTTCCTACAAATGACTCAAGTTTATCCTCCTTTATGGCAGAATAGTGTACTCCATCATGTATAAATACCTTTTTTATCCATTCATCTATTGATGGACATATAAGGGGCTTCAAGATTCCACTATTATTAATTGTGCTGTTATAAACATAGGTATGCATGTATCACTGTAATTCAGTGTCTTTAACACTTTTAGGAAGACACCTAGATGGGGAATAGCTGGATCAAATACAATTTCTATTTTCAATTTTTTTTTTTTTTTTGGTACCAGGAATTGAACTCAGGACCTTCAGCTTGCCAAGCAGGCACTTGTGTCACTGAGCTACATCCCAAGACCTATTTTCAACTTTTTGAGGACTCTCCATGCTGATTTCTATAGTGGTTGTACGAGTTTACACTCCCACCAACAATGAAAAAAAGGTCTCCCCGCACACAACCTCTGTTATTGGATTGTTATTTGTTATTGATTTCTTTGTTTTTTTTCTTTTTTCTTTCTTTTTTTTGGGGGGGGTCCGGGGGAGTACTGGGAATTGAACTCAGGACCTTGCACTTGCCAGGTAGGCACTTGTGCCAGTGAGCTATATCCCCGGCCTGTTATTGATTTCTTAATGATGGTATTCTTTCTGGAGCGAGATGGAATCCCAGTGTTGTTTTATCTGGTGTTTCTCTAGTGGTCCACTGCCACTTTGGTCTCAGTCTTTCAGCCTTCAGGACTATAAGAAAACAAATGTCTTTTCTTTAAGCCACCATGGCATGGTATTCTGTCATGGAAGCCCAAGCAGAAAAATATAATGTGCTGTAAAATTTTTATATTTTTTTCCTTCTTTACCCCTAAAATGTATGAATAATGAAAACTTCATACATTGAAATCCTTCCTGATTTTGGCTTTTACTAAATTTCACCATTATTGTGGCTATATTTGCACACTATAGTGTACTACATTTTAGTTCAAATAGATTTCTGTACATCAAAATTTGTAAATTCCCTTTTCATTCTTAGTTATATCTCTATATGAGTGAGCTCAGGCTGCCACAAAAAATACCATAGACTGGGTAAGCAACGGGTGTATTTTTGCAGCATTTTAGACACCAGAAGTTCCACACCAAGTCACCAGCCAATTCAGTTTCCAGGGAGGCCTCTCTCCCTCACTTGCAGATGGCCATCTTGTCTCTACGTCTTCCAATGGCCTAGCCTCGGTCACTGTGTATGGGGAGAGAGAACCAGCCCTCTCTTCTATTAGATCAGGGCCCTACCTGCCCTTATGATTTCAGTCAACCTTACTGATTGCCTTAGAGGCTCCTAGCTCCACATACAGCCACAGTTCATGTTAGGGCTTCAACATATGCACTTCTGGGGAATGCATTCGGTCAATAACAATCTCTAAACATTGCAACTTCCTTCATAGTTCATCCTTTAATAAACTGTTGAAGCTCCCACACAAGAGCAAATGAAAGTCACAAAAAGATCTAATACATAAACATTGAGATTAAAATCTTTAAAAAAAATTCATTCTTATAATAAATGAGTGTCATGCAACACCATTAAAGTGTTACATGAGACTTGGTCAGAAAAGAAATGAATTTAAACTGCAGGAATGACTCTGAAGAGTTGGAGAGGCTACACCGCTACCTGGAAGGCTGGGCAGCATGCATTGAAAGCAAGAGTCCTCAACCTCCTTAAAACTGGCAGGTAATCTGGGAACAGACTGGGTACTGCTGGGTGGTCTTCTGGAAAAATAATACTTCAAATACAGAACGCCCCAGCTGAGAGATATGCAAACTGCTTTCCTTTGGATTTAGCTAACATATGGCTGCACAGTAGTCTCACCTATAATCTGTGCTTCACTACATTCATGGAAAAATGTACTACTGATGATTATATTCAAACAGTCTTAACAGAGATCCACAAAGGGAATACTCCCATTTGAAATACACTCCTAAGCCATCATACTAGAAAATGTTTTTCTTAGATTTCATCAAAATGATATTACCTGTAAAAGCAACTAATTTAAATGAAGAAGTTCCATGTATCTACGTTTTTAATTCTATGGTTCTCTAATCTATCCTCAATTTAACTGCCAGGTTAATCCTCCCAGAAGGACCACTCCACTATTAAAAACTATCGCCCTGGCCTTATTAGTCAAGAACAAATGCATCTGCCTAGCTTTCCAACGAGCACAGTCTGCCCGCTGAATCTTGAGGGCTCCACATCCAAGAATTCTACTAAGAGCAGGTCGAAAAAACAGAAAAACTTCTTTTTAAGACCAGGTGTGGTAGTGCACACCCGTAATCCCAGCATTCCGGTTGAAGCAGGAGTATTGCCCTGAGTTCAAGGCCAGCCAGGGATACATAGTGAGACCCTGTCTCAAAAAAAAGAAATTTTTAAAAATGTGTCTGTACTGAACACGGACAGGATTTTTCCTTTGTCATTATCTCCCAATTAATAGAGGATAACTATTTACATAGCATTTTCATTGCACTGGGCATTATAATCTAGAGATGATTTAAAGGACTAGGGAGGCCAGGCACAGTAATGCATGCCTGTAATCTGAGCACTCTGGGCGGCTGAGGCAGAAGGATCACCAAATTAGCGACCCGCCTGGGCAATTCAACAATTTAGTGAGACTCTGTCTTTAAAAAAAAAAAGTAAACTGGGCCTTCTCCAAATATAGCCTTGTAGCTCATTGTGAAGGCCCTGGGTTTAGTCTCCAGTAGCAATTAATTAATTAATTAATTAAAATTTAAATAAAGTGCAAGGAAGGATTGTGTAGGTTGTATGCAAATACTACCCCATTTCCTAGTAGGGACTGGTGCACCTGCCAATTTGGGGGCGAAAACAATCCAGCGTGGCCACTGGGACGTGAGGACATCGCCACTATCAAAACCCACACATTCAACCTTATCTTTATTACGAAGAACACTCCAAATCCGGGCCTCAGCCGTGGCTCCATCTGCCCCAGTCTCCTCCGCGACCTCTTTTCTGCTTGTCGCGTGTCCTCTCGGAGGACGCCACGCACGCCCTGACTTCCTTCAGCCGGGGACTCCCTCTGTAGACCCCGTCGCGGTCCAGCAGCCCAGGAGGGCCCTGTGCCCCCGCGGCTTTCTGCACTGTTGTCCATAACTTAGACTCGACAGTCCCTCTCCGTACCCACGGCCCCGCGGGCACCGTGCTTGTGGGAAAGGTTCTCGAAGGCTTCATTTGCTGGTTTGTTCTTGGGTGCATCTTCATCTACCCGTAGGTGACCGTCCCGACACACGGGACCCTCTCCTGCCCTCCCCGCGCACACGCCAGGCCAGCGCGCTGCGGATCGCCGTCCCGGGGCCCTCGGCCGCCGCCGCGCAGCGAGGCCGG